AGGAAGTATTTTGCATTGGGCATAGAAGCAGGGACTGCTGTTGAGCAGAAAGCCCCACGCCAAAGCATTAACGTGTGCAGCATACAAGCCCTTTACAGCAGCAGTGACGCACACAGGGCATTCATTGACGATGCTTTGGGACAGCCGTATCTCCACAACTCCAAAAGCTATTTCAGCGTTTGGGAAACCTCCTTGGGGTTGGCCCCTAGTGAGCGGCACCCTCCAGGCACCCAGAGAGCACCTCTTTCTGGCATCCCCTCTTTCTTATAGCCTGAATGAATTAATTCTACATCCAATTTACCCACAGCAATTCTGAGGAAACAATAACTCCCCCCTAATCCACCTCCAGACAAGCCTTTAATTACACAGCCTAAACCCCTGCAGACAGGTTTTGCTCTTTGATCTTCAGTTTATTGCTGCCATAGATGTTCTTGGCATCTTTTACTTTCCAAATACACTTGTAAAGGCACAAAAAGGAGAATAAAACAGAACAAGTTCCTGATAAGTCTTAGGGGATTTCTGTCGCAACAAAGGAGCAGAACTGCTTTGAGCTGCTGGGGCTTCTTCCCTACCATTTTTTTGGAGGAAATTGAGAGCCACATGGACACAGGATGAGCGAACACCTAGTAACCTGCTGGTGCAGAATGGTCTGAAGACAATATGCATCCAGCAGACAAAGGCTTTGTACACTTTGTCTCTTCATTTTCAGTTCCAAAGTGGCCTACTCTGAATTCTAATCAGCAGAAAACAGAGGAAGCAATTATGTATATGGGCCTTCCCATTTATCAAAGCAAGAAGCTATAGGTTCAGCATGCTCTAGGTCAGAAGGTGGGTCACAGGGAGCTTTCAGCTTCTTCCAGCTACCAAATGTGATTAATTCTGTACCCACTTTTCTCACACAGCTGGGCGCCCAGCAATTACAGACCCCCCACAGGAAGTCCACTTCCCTCAGCTTATCTCCCAAGAGCAGTTACACACGCATAACATTAGCTACTTCTAGTAGACCGCACGCTGTTAGCAGGCTGTTTGAGAGAGACAACCACTGTCCGAGCAATAATCACTCACTGTTCAGTCCCCCACCACTCCCATCCTGTGTGTATAATTAAAAATCTGTTACCTCTCTGACTTGGCTAGCAATTGGAGGCCCTCTCACAATAGTGCTCAGCAGACACAGGGCTTTAACAGATGGCAAGACAATGACGCAATTCAAAAATCTAAATATGATGCCACAAGATCAGACTGTTGCAGATTTGATAACAAATGAAATTAAACGCATGACTGTGGGATCAATAAGACATAGATGAAAATAAATTAAATGCATCGCTCATACAGTAGGGAGTGGGTGTAATTTGTTGAAGGATAAAAATGACAATCTTGCTTCCATGGTGTGCTGCAGTATCTGTGGAGCCTCTTTGTATCTTTCCTATTTTCCTACTAATGCTGCTGCAAAGCAATATTAACCAATAAAATAACATTTCACATTAAACACCCAGGCACTGAGAATTAAAAGATGTAGCACATATTCCACTCAAGTAGTTATCCTGTACATGCTGTCAGCTGCTGCTTATAAAGGAAGCGTACGACAGCCAAAAATGAGGACTGAAAGCATCTTAAGCATGCCCTAGTTTGCACCTTGCTGCTTTGCTAGATGTGAAAGTGTGGGTAAAAAGATTAAATAATGGCATCTTCTGTTTTCATTTATCACTGTTCACATTTAGAGAAGAGTTGAAAATAGAGTAGGAAATTTCTGAGATCAAATCAGGATAACTGAAAAGAAATGCTCAGAAAAGTATGTGAAAAACAATGTCAAGAATTTCCTGTGCTTCCCTAATCACAACCTACATGAAATTATGCCTTTGGTTCTTGTACTTTCGGATAAACAACAATTTTTCAATAAGATGGATGAGTACCTAAAAACAATGGGAATGATTCCCATAGAAACACTAAAACTGCATTACACATCTCAACACATAAATTATGCATCAATTTTCCTTCCTATTTGGAATTAGAGGAAAAAGAGCACTTAGATCCTGGTGTATTCTGCTGCTGTCTGTCACCATATTATCACCCAGATCACGCAGCAACAGTAAGAAAACTATCATGTACGATTTATTACCTACACCCCCATAAAGAAAGCTGGGCTGCTGATACATGAGGTAAGTAAATAAGACGGCAGATGTAGAGATTCAGACAAGTGGAGCGCTGCGTCCTTGCCCTCAGGGAAGGCCACATCATGCTATTTTAGGTCTTTTTTGTTCACTGAAGTAGTTAACATGCTTCCTCAGAACAAAAACTTCAGGACAGGAATCATGGACTTAGGCTTCATATAAAAATATTTTATATGGCGCTTTCACAATGCAGCTGCATTTTTGTGTGTCACTGCTGCCCAAGACATGTTTATCAGAGCAGGACCTCTGCACTAACAAAGGACTAGATGCTGCCATGCGAGGAGGCAGAGGACAGGTACAGAGGGAGCTCTGGGGGATGCTGTGGAGGATAATGATGATGACTGGAGCAAACAGCCGCTGGGCTGTGAGAAAGTACAAGGGAAATTTCTCATTTATCAAAAGCTGTTGCTCTGCACTGACTGCACAACAGCTGCTGTGGGGTCAGTCTCCCTAGAACAGGGGATGGCCTCAGACACAGCTTACTGCTTTCTACCTGAAGGCACAACATTGCCAAGGCAGACTGGGTGTTATCTTTGCAAAACACTGAGCCTTACTTTTACTGATGGAGAAGTAACAGAGCAGCAAGGAAACCATGTTGCAAAGAAACCCTGCAGCTCTGGTGCTCAAGGCATCAGGCAACCCTTCCTCCCTTCTCCATGGCTCAGCCTTCACACAGGCCCACTAACTCTACCTGAGATTATTACTGATTTTCAGGATCTTGAAATTAGTTTTCAAAAACCAATTGTGCTCCTGGGGTGATGGGATTAACCAGCCAACTCTGGCTCTCACCTTAGGTCAATCCTCCATATCTGAAGAACTTGGATAACTTAAACATTGGCTTTTTTGACCTCCTTGCCCACACACTCCATGCTCCCAGAGTGTTTGGGTACCCAAGACCCCTCCGTTCCCTCCCCAGGAAAGCCAACCTTCCCCCAGGGCTCCTTCCAGAGTACAATAAACTCACAGTTTGAGTCTGCAGGAGAACAAGTAATTGAAACAGATTTTACACAGCATTCCAAATCAATTTTTAATTATAAATTGGCAACCTCAAAAAGGTCAAATACCAAGGTAGGTGAAATATCCTTACCTCCTGAAAAGCCATAAAAATGGATTACAAATGATTAGAAGGGTAAAAAAATGGTTTAGGTCTGTTCTGACAGAGCTTCCTCTACTCCCTCCTCATATAAAATCTAGGACAGCTGATGCTACAACTGCCTCAAGTTCATCAAGTACCAACTTTGACTTTTTGGAGCTTTTCATCCCTAAATTCATCTATGCTTCTCCAGAATTACAATTTGTTCCACAAACTGTAAACCCATAAAGGAGAAAGCTTTTCAAGGATATTATTTCCCATTGTATCATGTAGATGTTTTGCATACTCTCCCCAGCATAAGCTTTAGAATATTACAAGGGGGGGAAAAAGAGCAAAAAAAAATATATGCACATGTGAGGGAAGAAAAAAAAAAAAAAAGGAATAAAAAAAGGAATAAAAGAAGGAATCAAATTCTTTGTTAACTCATATAGTCCAAAAAAGCACATAGCTTTCTTTCCTTTTCAGAACTCTAAGCATTTTTTTCTAAAGTTACATGATCATCTTTAAAGAATTGTTCAACAGAAAAGATTCAGATCACAAGGCAAGCTGAAATAGCATCAGTAAGCTCAAGCTTTTGATAATGTTTACCTCTATTTCATTTTCAAAGTACACAGAATGCCAAATCCTGCTTGCTTTTTCATATGCAATTAATCCCACCAAAATCCTTTGGGACTACTTCTGAAAGTAAAACGAGCAGGATTTAGTTTATAATCCAACACTGACAGGAAGGGAAAATATGATATTGTGTTTTATCCCTAGCAAAGAACCCTGGCACTAAATCCTCATGAATGAGTAGAGCGTTAGTGCATATTCTGCAGCTAATCTGGCAACGGGGCAATTTCCTGTTTGTAGTTTATATTTTGCCCAAATGACTGTGTGGAGACAGATGGCCACACCAAAGGAGAACAGTTCTGGAAAGAAGTCTCCTTCCCTCAGGAGTACTTCAAAAGATCAGTTTGGGAACTGCCAAAGCAGGGTCTTTTGCCAAGCAGCTGAATCACAACACACTGAATACCTTATTCGGCTGGGTTCTGTATCAAATTCTTACCATCTGATAAATAGAATGTTGAGGAAAGAAGAGCAAAAGACATTTCAGAGATTGATTAGTTTCTAACATTAATGACTGGATGTTAAGACTCATTCCAAGACTTTTTTTTTTATTATTATTCCAAGAAAGGAAATCTTTCCTGACTGCATTTTCTGCATCCTTAGAAGTATGCCCTAGGTTACTGATTATCTGGGATCCCATCATGAAGTTTTCAAAAAAGATACTCGTTTCCTTCAGGCTACAATGGCTCAATCAGATCAAGTTTCTAAAACATAGGTCATGCAAAACTGATGTTAGCCAAGGGCTTTATTCTCCCTCATAATTTTTATCCATGATTTTCCAGCACCAATTACCTGGGTCATCTTTTCTTTATTTCAAAGAGAAAATAAAGGTATTTTAGAATTATCTATGAAAACACAAAATACATTTAGAATAGCAAGCCACATACTGTTTATTTGGATTTGAATTTGCCTTTCCTCTGAATTTTCAGTAAACCAGAAAGATTTTTATCATCAATAACAATCTCGGCTCAAAAACCTTCAGGACTGTCAGGTAGTAAGAGAGATTTTGGGACTGTGAGATTAAATCAAGTATTGCTGTATTGAGAAAAACTGAAGAGTCAATAGTTTTAATTTTGATTAACACGATTCAGAACTAAAAGTGGATTTAGTATAGTGCAAATGTGTCTCACCATTTTGCTTATCTGCAGAGCAAGACATCACTTCTTCAAGGTATTCACACTTGGCTGAGATTCATTCTTCATAAGCTTGAAGGCTAAGGAAAAAAAGGTTTAAAATTATATTTTAAAATGCTGGATTACATTTCAGGCTATAAATCAAAGTCTGAAACCTTGGAATCACAAAACACATATGACTATATCTTGAGTGAATACTTTGGAAATATTTCAGCTCTTTTGCTCTGTCTCCCTAGTGATAACAAATACAGATTTCAGCGCTACATTTGATTGCTACTAGACTTATGCTGGTCTATTAGGATTTCTAAATTGCATATGCAGAAAGTGCTTCTGAAACATGGCTTAAAAGAAAATCATATAGAACACAGAATGTTACAAAATTCTAAGAACTACTAGAATTTCTGTTTAACTCGAGCAGAAATAAGTTAGATGCTGCACACCCTAGGCCTAGGCCTATTCAAAACAGTAGCAAACTTCCTGTTCTCATGGGAGTGTCTTTATTCCCAGTCAGGTGTGTGGGGTCAGATCAATAGAGTCATTACCGAACGGCACTGCATCTGGCGTGTTATATGGACTTGTATCACGTGAGCACGTTAACAGTCCCATCTGACTTCCACCGTAACCAGTCAAACTGTCCCTAAAATCCCCAGCTGGTGACCCAAATCTATCAAAAAAATTGAAAGGATGAATGAAAACTTAACCACTTTCAGAGCTGGTAAAGTAAGAAAGATTGAAATGACACAAAGATGTCCTGTAGGCTTCTATGATAAAATTAAGATTAATTGCTGGGAAAGTCCCACTTGCAGATGAAAGCGATGGAATGTACTCCTTGGGATCAGGTGGACCATTTTAGATAGTACTAGGAAATGCTAAGCAACTTGAATAGGATTACTGAGGGAAGCAGAACCAGGAATAAAATTCAGCTCTGTTGACCTGAAGCTGTCTACTCACCTCCCAGCTATTACAAGAAACACGTGGGAAGGGAAATAGCATACTGCACTTAGGATGTCAGAAATTACTTTTAAAAAGGTAAATGATTCATAAAACTTCATGCTAGTGAGCACTCCCCTGCACCTACAACCATGTACTTGCTCAAGCATTTAACACAGCTGTATTGCTCACTTCCAAGTCACAGTTCTCATGAGCAAAGAGCATTCAAGGTGATATTCTTGGCTTGTTAAGAGCAGTACACGTCCATCTGTCGAGATCTGTTTTGACAGAATTTAATCCCTTTGCGGTTCTTCTTTGTGTGTCTGTTTAATTTTTTATAACGTTGCATATCTCACTTCTCTTAAAAGCAAAATCCTAAACATGATGTCTGATGCATGCAGGTTGTCGTAGACTTGCCTGTTCACTAAAGACATTTAGAAAGCGAAAACACTGAATGACCTGGCAAGTTTTAAATCAAAAGAAATGTGAGCAAAGGTAAACTCATCTTCTTTCTGCAACATATGCAGGAAAAACCTAGCAGGTATTGGTCAAAAAGACAGTTAGATACACAAGAAAAAAAATTATAAAAGAAAAACAGTGCAGGCATCCAGGGCATCCCCATATCTTGCACGTTGTAGGAATGTCTCATCGTTCCATCCTATAAACCAGAAAAGCACTTTATATGTAGAAAAGAGCAACAATGCTCAGAGTATGGCCTTCTGCAGAACAGGGTAATAAATTAGGACTCTTTGGTTTGGAAAATAGGTAACTGGAGGTCCACAACCCAACAAATGCTGCAGAAAAAGTGACAAGAGCATGATTATTCAGCTTCTCATAATACCAGAACTACAGTAAATCTGATAGTATCAAATCTGAAACACAAATAAAATATTTCCCTCAATAAGCAATTAAAGAGTACTATTCATTACCACATTATATTTGAGAGATAAAAGTATAATGAGTTTCAAAATGGTTCACCAGCAATTGCCAAAGAAATCCCTAAATTACTGACTGCTTGAGTTTGGGATGATAGCACACACACACACACAAAAAAAAAAAAAAAAAAAAAAAAAAAAAAAAAAAAAGATCACTCAGATGATGCATGCTTTGTTGTACTTCTCTGAAAAGATCTGACATACTGGCCACCATCATTAGTACTAGGTTAAAGGGACTTTGGGTATGAACCATCATGAAAATTCCTATATTGTCAGCCTAAAACCTTTAAGGTTTCCAAAATTAAACTCAATCACCATGGAAAATTAAAAACTATTAGCAAGATTTGGTCAAATAAATGAATCTCATGAACTTAAGGCAGATTCAAACGACTGTTCAAAGAAATTGTAGTCGTAGATAGTTCAGCAAAATTTAGCACATCTTTAGAAAGTGGAGACAGTATGGATTAGATGTTCCTTGTACGACCAAGTTAATGTAGATCATTATGTATGGTACAATAACAAAACCAACTGAACCGAGGGAAGTGCAGACCCTTATGACCACTGGAAATGCTCGCTTGCAATATTGCTACCTGCAGACACTGTTTTCCTACCAACAGAGAACATGGTTAAATTTGTTATGAGACAGGTTTTTGCCCTGCTCAAGCAGTTTGACCTAAGAACAGCTCATGTGTTCACAGCTGTATATTTTTTAGCAGAACCTGAATTATCCAGGACTGCTGCAGAAAGCCTTCAACAGACAGGTAAAAGCAATTCTCAGACAGCCATCTCCTCCTCTTTGGAAAGGAATTAATCTACACCAGCTGTGGAAAGTGAAGAATGCTTCCTGTCACCTTTATATCACAGCTTTCTGTCAGTGCCAGTGACAACATCACCTCCCAGGTTAACACCAGACACAGAGGAAGCATCCATGGAGAAAAAGCCCAAGTCTTTTAAAAGCAGCATCACAGATACCCTGGGGGATCTTCTGTATGAGACAACCCAAGCAGCAGCAAGGCCAAGCCCTAAGGAACCCTGGATAAATGCGCTTCATGAATAGATCATTCTGAATGTATCCCTTGCTCAAGGGTAACTGCTACTTCTTTGTAAATATCACACATGAACTAGCATCACATTATGATATCTGTATCTTCTATTTAAAAAAATAAATAAATTTATCCCAAGACTATTCTCAGCCTCAGCAGGCCCAATCAAATTAACCCCAAATGTCTTCGCATCTGTACCCAGACACAACAAAACAAACAGAGAAGTCAGGAGCAGCCCAGGTGCCAGTCTGGTTGGCTCTTTCTGAATTTCAAACGATGCATCAGTTTCTTAGGCTTGTTAGAAGAAAAAGTTGTCTTCACGGCTAAGTTCCGAGACTACTGAGTGCAAGTTTGGCACCTGTATGAAGAGCGCTAAACCTGTATGGCATGTACTACTCTGTCCCCGGGTTTTGCATCAGGGAGTACATAAAACCTGAATCTGAATACACAAGGATTTGAAGTGCAATCTAAGCTTGTTGAGTCCTGTAAATAATGGGCAAGGGTCATTGTGAGAGAGAAAAACATTTGATCTTTCCACCACTCACCTTACCAGGTGCTGCGTTTTAGGGTGAATTTCAGTAGTGAGGCTTAAAAGCCGGAAGCTTTACACTTGGCACCATCTTGAATAAAACAGCAATACTGTAACCGTTGCTAGCCTCAACACAGAGGGAATTTTTGACAGCTTTTTATTTTGACAAGAACTGAGAAAGCTCTCAAATTCTCAACTCAAGAATCACTTCAGTCAAAGTGGATTACAGAAGCAATTCTCTTAATCAGCAAGTTTAGCATGGAGCAGAGCTTTACAGAAAACAGCTTATAGAAACAGTAAACAAGAAGTTCCTCTCAATTATGCAGAGACCCCCACCTCAATTCCAGGTGATAAGTCATGGCAGCACAGTATTAATGCCTTATAAATAACACATTTATTTCTGTTCAGGACTGTTTCCTGTACCAAAACAATTTCACTAGTAAATAATCCTGCTTGTAGAGCTAGAGCCGATATCCTCCTTTATTCACTAACATACCGTCTCTGCCATATATATCTAAGATAAACTGCTGTTGCTTCACCTTGAAAAATTACTTAGAGAACATTTTAATGAACTAGAGCAACTTTACCTAACAGAACAGAAAATGGAAGATCTAAGTGAGAGGAAAAGAACCACCACCACCAAATAACATCTTCAAACTCAGCTATCTCCACAAACCCACTCCGCTCCTACCTGTTCTTGAGTAATGCTGCTTGTTCTAAACATCATGGCTATAATCATGTCATCAGGTCACACACAAAAAACCTGCTAGTATTTAGCAAATAAAACCAAAGTGTTCAATGTTTTTTGTCTAGGCACCTTGAAATAATATCAAAATATCAGTAATAGTCCAAATTCCAAGATCGGTTAACAATTTTAAAATACCTTCTGTATTTCTTTGCATAAGGCCTTTTAAAATTTAGATCTAAAAACAGATAACAAGCAGACTTAATTTCATCAGCGGTTGATTTATTTCTGCTTTCTGCTCTCTCTGGTCGCAGTTCAGTGAAACCCATAAATAAGTTAGGCTGGTGAAGGAGATTGAATTTTTTGAGACCACAGCAGTAAATGAGGAATTGAACAGCCTAGAGGTTGAAATATCTTCTCTTGGGATATAAGCCTTTGGACCTATTAGCAGCTGTCTATATTGCTGTTCCAGCCATCGACACATATGACCATGTCAACATATTGAAATGATTTATGTTTCTTTGTGTTGCAAAAGGACAGACCTTATTTCTGTTTGGGGCTCCATCACTATTACTGCAAACATTGAAAGTCAGTTAGCTACATAGATTACAATATATACACACCCACGTTTTATTCCAAAATTAAAGTTTCCAAACACCATCAAGCTTCTCTCAGGAGCTACTTCTCAATATTTAAAAGGCATCCAAACAAATCTAATATTTAGGAGGCTTAAAAAAAAAAAAAAAAAAGTTGAACAAGGCCTATAGACTGTAAGCTTTTGTGTACACTTACAGGAAAAAAGTTGTATTTTCAACATGTTTACTGTATCTAACACCTTTTGTTTCTCAACTAGTTTACAGAAGTGCTGTTTGTGCTGTTAGCCACAAATTTTTCCCTTAAGTACTAAAAAGTAAGATTTTCCAAAAACATGGAAAGACATGGTCAGCACAATTTGGTTATAGAGAAAACTGGGTTTTGTTTGTTCATTTGTTTTTTGTTTTGTTTTGTTTTTTTAACACTTTTAGTCAGTACTTGCAAAGGAAAGACTAACAGGGAGACCTGAAAATAAAAGCAAGCAAAACAAAGAGCAAACCTCCCCCACTACCCGCCACTTACATATTTTGTGGTTCTCTGGCTTGGAATCAAAATTTCACCAAAACCCAAGAGATTCCACACGCTGAAGAATCGATGAATCACCAAACCAAAGACCATGAGTAAAAAGAAGCATCTCCAGACCTTACTTCTTGCAAAAACATTGAGATGCCCTCTGGCAAAACGCAGCTCAGAGGAGCAGGCCCACACCCTCTGCAGGCACGTGCCGGCCATTTCGGGGCAGTTACCTCAGGAGCTGCCCCACCCGCCTGGCACAGGTGCCACAGCGCTGTTCCTCCATCTTTGGCAGCAGACCCACATGAGACAAACAGCCTAATACACTGAAATGCACACTTGTACCCATCTCCCACTGAGTTAGCATTCCACAAAAACTGAAGTTATTATTTCTAGCAAGGTGTCACTCAGCGCAGGCCACGGGCTTACCAGGTGTGGCAGAAATGGCGCCCCACAAGGAACTGCTGACCAGCAAGGCTTCAGACAATAGCCACACACGTTAAAAGAGTAAAATTTGCTAACAGATCTATAAAGGTATCTATAACTAGTCCCAGGGCTCTCTGAACCCCACAGGGAGGAGCCAGGTGAGAGCTCCCAGACTCCACATGACTGCGCACCTCCACAAGCCAGCATCCAAGCTAAACAGTTGAAGTAGAAAAGCGTTACCCAAGACAATTTTATTTTCTAACTATTCACTTATATCCCACATAGTCACATGGTGTTCGCAGCAGGCTTCCAGTCTACACTCCTGAGGGAAATGGCATACCTGCACAACGACGGACAGCTCCAGCATTGACTTTCAACGAGCCCTTGCTTCCAATTCACACCGTTGGATAGAAAGAGGCACACAGATTAAACTCATACAACTGGCAGGATGCTTAGGATCTACATTGTAGTGCGCTCCCCAAAAGGTTTTATCTGCTACTGTACAATGACCACTTCACTAACGGACATTCATAGAAAAGAGTTAACAATCAATCCCACAGGTGAACAAACAGGTGTCCTACGTAGTGCAGTTCATTTACAGATAAGTGGACAGAAAAAATGCAGACACTATGTAGCATAAGTCTTTTAATTTAAAAAAGCCCTCCTCTGAAGAGATTTTTTTTCATACATAGTGTAAAACAGGTGGTGAATCCCATCTGATTTCTCTGCTTAGCACAAATTTAATTACTATTTTTGCAGAAAATTAAAACTTAACACACACTGAACTTTAACTCTTTAAATTCAGTTTAAAAAAATCTGTAATGAGATTTTAGTATCCCACTTCAAGGATTAACAACGAGTATTTTGGTAAAACAGGCCACATCATTAAAAGAAGTACACAATAGATATGAGGAAGTTTATGAGTTGATATAGTTTATTCCAGATTTGAATATGTACTAATAATTATTTTTCGGGGAAATCATCACTGACAAAGAAGTAAATGCTATTTTAAATGTTTTCAGAAAGTTTCTCTCATCACAATGTTGTAGATAAACTGTATGCAGTTTTAAAAAAGCAGTGAGCTTATCTCTACTGATGATACACTGAATAAATACCATCACAATATGCAAAATACCTACGTTTAACATGAGCTTCCTTTCTGTCAAAATAATCCTGAGTATTAGGTAAAAACAGTCAGAAGCATGATTTATTCAGCATCTTAATCAGCTTGATTACATGTCAGATTTGAATTTCAGTAGCTCAGAAGAATGGTGGTTCAAACTTCAGACCAGATGCTACCACCATTATTATTTTCCAAATAGCAGCCAGTGCTACATCAATGTTAGCTTTGCCAGGTTTAATGTCAATTGCACTGTAATTTGGAGGAAGTTGACTTAAAGAGGAGATGAAACAAAAATAATTTGCATTCATAACAAACTGAAAAACGTTCCCAATGACCAGGGTGAAAACAAATTTCTGCATGGCACTGAATAAAAATAATACACCCTGCCCCACCTCGTAACCATTAAAATACATTTTTATCTGCTTTCACTGCTACAGAAGAATAGGCACAATAAGTCTAGTGCCAACATCTTTTACTCCTTGAGTTATCAGGGAAAAGGAAAAGTACACTTTCTTTCTAGGTAAGAAAGAACACACTATCTCAAATAATATGCTTTATTTTTCATCCTGCTGACAAGGTTTTCTCCACTTAGATAACCAAAGTACTGCCCAAACCATTATTCATGTTATTTTTTTATAATAACAAAAATCATCCAAACTGTAACAGCCACTGTTTATTAAAATGTATTTTTCTTCAACTGTAAGCATAGCTCTGAACGATGCCAGGTGAAGCAATAAGCAATTGTTAACTGCTGAAGAGATGACAATAGAAGATACAAGCATTTTAAGAGGCTTCTTCCATATCCACATCCTCTTGTAGCTTCTGCACCATTTTCTCTTCCAGCTGTTTTGGTTTGCCTTCAAAACAAAGAAATATTAAATTCAAGATGTCTCAACAGGCAAAACAACCTGAATATATTAAGCAGTTGTTTAACAGTAAACCCACCAAGCTGTATATTATTTATTGTTAACCTCCATCATCAACAAAAATTATAGAATTGCTGTAATAGAACAGCTGATACAGTTTTTATGCAAAAGTCTAAAAAGCAGTCAACGTATTTTTCCACTTATGTGGCTAGCAAAAAGATTTAACCTGTCCTGAATGGTGTGTTGGATGGCAATAATGTTACCTCTTAATAATGCTACCAAATTGAAAAAAAATCCAGGACTGACATTTGTTTCTGCTCTTTAATGCAATACACTGAAAAGGAAACTTCTGCTGTCTGAGAAACAAATGCACGTTAGTGTGCATCATTCTCTTAGCATAAGCAAAGCTAAAAAGCAAACAAAAAATTAAGCATAAATATATCCTAACAAAAGTCTGTTTCACATAGCTACAGTCTTAAGATTTGTACATAAACAGAAATGGAAAAAACATAACACATTTATAGTTAACATCTAATACAGTAACCTACCTCCAACTGAGACATGGTCATTAGTAATTTTTATAGAACAAGAACTAATGGATATAAGTGTTGGTTGGTTTTTTTTTAAATTCTCTCTATCACTGTGTTCCATTAGCTGTACTTTATAATCTGTTTTTCTCAACATGATCTAACACAAAATAGCACTTTCAATAAGCTGTTTGGAAAACAGAAAATTTAGGACGAATAGGTATCTGCAACTCAAAGCTAACTTAAAAACTCAGTTCACTGACAAAGAATATACAATATTTTATCTGTAATACACAGAGTTTTTAGTCAAAATTAGCAGAATTACCATTATATCAAAAAAGTTAGGATTATATTCCAGAAACAGTATTCTTATGTAAGTTCACACAGTGAACTACATAAAAAAGTTACATTTCCACAATTAGATAACAACAAAAAAAAAATCTCATGTATTTTATATTAATTAATGTGACTGGCAGTTGAATTCAAATGATTCAATTCAAAGGGAAGACTTATATAAATACACTGATTAAGAGATTTGCAGTTCTGAAAGTACCAGGTATTAAGTGCAATAAAATGAAAACACTGCAGTAAGAAGGGATAAATGCAAGACCAAATAAGCAAAAAGGTACGTTTGATTCAGAACAAAGATAATATTGCTCACATTTCATGACAAGAGCTATACTTAACATTCAATAGTCAATTTAATTGTTTTAAAAAAAAAAAAAAAATAAAAATAAGATTATTGATGAGTAGGGTAAGTCATACTAAAAAAAGATCAATATTCATCACAAAATTGTATACTCTAGGAGTATACACAAACCAGGTAAATCAAGTTCTTACCTGCATGTGGAGCACGAAGAAGGTGGATATTCTGTTTGACTTCTTTGATATCTTCTGCCTTCTGCAATTCTTTGTTCTTCTTTAATCTGGAGGATAGGGGACATTAAATTAAACTACCTTTTAAGAGGTGGTGGATGTTTTCTGTTTAATCCATGACACACGTATTTAGCTAAAGGTATATAAGTGTTAAGTAACTCTGACTGTAAGCAAATAAATATAAAAACTATTTGAAAACCTATTTAACTACATAATGGATTCAAAATCAGAAAGCCAACACTATCAGCTCTTATCAGAAATGTGTTTAAATCTGGAAATCCAAGCTACAAATAATGAAATACCACTATTACAACTGCATGTATAAAAGCTACATTTTCTTTGGCAGCCTATATAGTAGTATAGCATAGTAGTTAGGTAGCACAGAGACTCCACTCAAACTATTTTACCTCATCACTTGGACTACTGTACATGTATATGTAACAAAGCAAATAAACATTTAAAACTCCTAATAGTTATTTTTCTGGAAAGACCGACTGTCTAGTACAGATCTGCAAGAGCTCTTGTAATACAAATGCTTCTCCTCACCTGTTCATAATAAACCTAGCTTGGCGTTTTTGCTTGATTTCCTCCACTCTCTTCATTGCATCAACTGAAACAAAGCAGAAGTTGCTGTAAAAGTGCTTACATAGATACAGTTGAAAATACATGCTATTTTACAGAGCAACACTACCAGTACTCCATAATATGAAACCTCTACATCAGAGGGAACTCATATTGCATAGAAGTTCTTCCTTCTTCAAAGGGAACAGATTTTTTTTTGTATAATAATGAATTATATTTTAAAACTTATTAACGGTTTCACTTTTATGCCTACGTACATTTTCTACAGTTAAGCATCACAAGAAAAGCCTCTTACTCTATTTGAAATCAGATGCAAGTTACCATCTTCCCCTTTCTGGCATTCTCCCCTAACTTACAAAGTAACTCTTCCATTTTATATCATTTATATTATTTATGAAACAAGCTAAAGCAGAATGAATGGGAACAAACAATGGCATTAGTATAAAGAGGCTTACACTGGGATCCTCTTAAAATTCTGGAGAACAACCAAGGCTTTTTCAAAGATAACAGTTCAAAATACAGTAATGCTACACCTGGTTTTCTAAACAGTTTCTGAAAATAAATAAATAAATAAATAGAATAAAATCAAGCAAAACCCCATACCCATTCATAACAGCCCCACACCTAAGAATTTGGTCATGACTCCGGTAATTTCCAAGAACAATCATTAGAGAGAGCAACTATTCTACGTAGTCTCCTGAAAACACGTTCATGTAAAGCAAAAGTTCACTCCTCACAGTTACTCTTTTGTTCTTTTTCTAACATGACTCACCAGTCTTGTTCCACAACTCTCTCTGGTATTTCACTGGCTCATTTCTACGTTTTTCAAATTCAAACGAATTATCCTGTATTAAGAAAAAGTAAATACAGATTATATACAGAAGCATATTTAGATCAATACATTCTTATTGTATTAATATTCTCGATTCCTGTATTTTAAATACATTTAGAGATTACTAGACTATGAGGGCACATATTAGTGTTTGACCTCAAAGTCTCACATGCCACAGTGATTTGCCTGAAAAGAACTATTTACCAAACCATCTCCTTTGACTATTTTCTTTTTAATAAGACAAAGGCAACATAAAA